TTTTAACAACTTTAAATCATGGTTCTGATATTTCACAGGACAAGTCGTGGGAGTCTCCTTTATTTTAAAACATTATGTTTTTACTATTTACATTTAATTACTGAAATAAAAAAGTAATCCTTTGATTAATTCTGAATGTGTATAGACTTGTTACATGATTATTAACATGGTGGTTAAGCTTAATTCTTTGGAGTGTGGTCAATATATCATTTAAGAAAAATCTGATTTTTTTAATCAGTTTAGCAGATGTTCTTACAATTTTTCATATGCTACACATCAATCTTTCCCAATATAATATGCTCCATGTATATAAATATGATCATAATTCCAAGAATTCTAGACTCCTTTGACTGTTAATTGTTAGGAATTTTGTAAGATGGTCCCAAAACATCTATGGACCATCATGCTAAGGAAACTTCCTACTGTCAATTATGATCATAATTCTGCTTCATTGCTTGATCTCAGTTTGAAATGCTTCTAGCCTAATTTTCTAAAACAATGATAAATGTAAGTCTTAATGCATGTTAGACTTACTAAAATCATTTTTCATTTCTGCCAGAAAGCATAAATACATACCAAAATTATGAGATGGAAGAATGGGATTGTCTGTGATATACATTCTCTAACATTCGATTAGAGTCACAGTTAACTATTTGCATTCTGAATATTATAGTCAATCAGCAGATAAACCGTAATATCAAATCAGACATAAAATATTTTATCAACCAGTTTTTTAAAAGTTATGAACTATCCCAACTTTTGCCCATGAGATTTAGAAGAAAAAATACGTTCAGGTCAAATTTGCTTAATCTTCAATATTTCGTTTTCTAACTCAAATTCTGGTATCTGAAGAGTACGGTATCCACACATTTTTAAACAATGAAATTCATTTTTTAAAAAAATAGGTTACTGTATTTATAAAAGAATTAACTTTGTCTGGCCAGTAAAAAAAGTTGAAATTTGCTGATTTCTATACTGGAGCATAAAAATTGTGAAGAAGGAGATGGCAGATAAGATTCCAGCCTTTCTTTTGCTCCATTGCTTCAATCTTAAATATCATATTTTACAGACCTGATAGGGGCCATAGGGGAGGAAGGATACAAAACGAAGGAAAGAAATAGAGGGTGTTACTGCTGCTACTTCCTCAGTTGTCACTTCAAATTTAGCTATTGTTCTATCAGTGGTGGCCCCTTCTTCTTCTCCTCAGAGAGATACTGTATTTTTTGCTACGACTGAGATGAGATGAGACCCCCATGGGGCTTAAACTCTTTGCTGTTGCAGCAGAAACAAGACGTGTGTGTGTGTGTGTGTGTGTGTGTGTGCGCGCGTCTCTCCCGCCTGCCAATAATAATAATAATAATAATAATAATAATAATAATAATAATAATAATAATAATTGGAAGGGACCTTGGAGGTCTTCTAGTCCAACCACCTGCTCAGGCAGGAAACCCTATCTCTTCTTAAAAACGTCCAGTGTTGGAGCATCCACAACTTCTGGAGGCAGGTTGTTCCACTGGTTAATTGTTCTGACTGTTGGGAAATTTCTCCTTAGCGCTAGGTTGCTTCTCTCCTTGATTAGTTTCCATTGCTTCTTGTCCTGCCTTCAGGCACTTTGGAGAATAGCTTGACTCCCTCTTCTTTGTGGCAGCCCCTGAGATATTGGAACGCTGTTATCATGTCCCCCCTCGTCCTTCTCTTCATTAGACTAGACATTCCCAATTCCAGCAGCCGTTCCTTATATGTTTTAGCCTCCAGTCCCCTAATCATCTTTGTTGCTCTTCTCTGTGCTCTTTCTAGAATTTTCACAGCTTGGGGCCCAGAGAGTTTTAACTTAACTTGGCTTAACTTTTATATATATCAGTGGTTCTCAACCTTTCTAATGCCGTGACCCCATAATACAGTTCCCCATGTTGTGGTGACCCCCAAGTGGGTGTGGCCACCAATAAGAGGGAGGACAGCTAGGGAAAAGGGGAAAAAATGGCGGACAGCGTGGTTTGGCGACCCCCGTGAAATGGTCATTCGACCCCAAATGGGGTCCCGACCCACAGGTTGAGAACCACTGATATATATATATATATATATATATATATATATATATATATATATATATGAACATGTTTAATGATGACTGACTCATTCACATCAGTGAGTCTGAAACACAAAGGCGGCTTGCTAGGAGAGACAAGAATTGGTGTTCTGGTAGGATATCGTCCCAAGATAAAGAAGAAGTCACAATTTACAAACATTTAAAAAAAATCTGATCTCCACATGACAAATGTGCAACAATCCCAAATCTACACACAGGGAAGTTAGCTCAAGTGAATTCAGATGGACAACTCTGGATAATATCCAAATACACTGGTGCAGTGATGGCGAACCTTTTGGAGACCGAGTGCCCAAATTGCAATCCAAAACCCACTTATTTATCGCAAAGTGCCAGGGCTGCATCAGCATTGTGGTGCCCTCGGGGGGCAGCAGGGGCATGGCCACTGGGTGGGTGTGGCTATGGTGATCATGGCAGACTGGGTGGGCATGGCTGCAGTGGCCATGGCCAGCTCGATGTTGCTCGTGGGGGGGATGCCTGCGGGGGCTGGGCAGGATTGGGAGAGATCCAGGGGGTCTTGTGGGTGGGGCAGTGAGCAGGAGGCTTTTCCTGCAGGGTGTGGTGGGGGTGCTATTGCTGCAGGGCAAGGCGAGGCAGGGGCGGCTGCTGCCTGACACCATTGGCCCCCGCACACAGAGGCCAGCGAGTGCACCTCTACTCGAGCTTGCTAGCCGGCCACTTCGCCTCCTTTGTGCTGGGCGGGGCTGTTGCTCCGGGCGCCGGTGGCAGCCTAATGGACCTGTGCAAGATGCTGGTGGCAGTGGCAGGCGTGCCCACAAAAAGGGCTCTGAGTGCCGCCTCTGGCACACGTGCCATATGTTCACCATCACTGCATTAGTGCCTTGGTACTCATCATTAATTGGTTCTGGGAGGCACGATGAATACCAAAAACAATGAATACCAAATAAATTTTCCCCAAAAGGAATAATGTAGTGAGTCACAAGAGAGCTGACGCTGACAGATTCTAGCTTGTGCATTCATTGAGTACCAAACAAACGATGAATATACCAGGACAACATCTTCCCTGTAAGTACAACATTGTATTTAATTTCTCTGTGCAATCATGGGGATTGCACTGAGGAACATTCCATTAATCATATAAAAATGAATAATTGCACAAAGATATTGTTTGTCAATTGTGTGGCAAATGAGCAAGTATTTTTCACTTTGAGATTCACTTACATCTCCATGTTCTAATAACATATAGAACAGAATTTGCTGCAACCCTTTGCTTCCATGACAGTGGTAGATGCTCTTAATATGAGTATCCCAGAATGCTCCAGAATAGCAGAAGAGAATTATGGCTTTCTGAACTGTTGCTGTCTATGTCATAGATAATACATTGGGGCTTGTTCAAAATAATGCATGGTGCGTATTCCCAACAGTTCTTGACATTTGCTTCTTCATTGGATGATGGAGGAAGGGCAAGCAAGCATAGTATTAGAAGGAACCAGACTTTGTTATCAAAGATGAGAGAATCATACCTTGCTGCAGCTAATTCTACAAGAGTAGACTCTGTACTCATGTGATGGTTTGATTGGCCCAAAAGAGCACCAACACTACTAGATTAAAAGCCAAACAGGTGAGGAGTGGAGAAATGAGGGTTGCATGGAAAACTCCTTATGGGAGATGGTCTATTCAGGAGCAGAATACAAGCATTCCTCAATTTACGATCAAAATTAAGCCCAACATTTCTATTGCTGAGTAAGACATATGTTAAGTGAATTTGCCCCACTTCACAATTTTTCTTGCCACAGTTGTTAAGTGAATCACAGCAGTTGTTAAATTTGAAACACGTTTGTTATGTGAATTTGGCTTTCCACTGAATTTGCAAAAGGTGATCACATGACTCTGGGATATACTGCAACCATCATCAGTCAGTTGCCAAGCATCTGAATTTTTAAAATCTATTTTTATTAATTTATTTATTCCACGGGTCCCCAATCCCCAGTCCATGGACTGGTACCGGGCTGCGGCATGCCAACAACCAGTTTGCGGAAACAAGCAAAGCCCCATATGTGAGATGCAGGCAGCACACAAAACAACGCACTCTCCGGTCCATGGAAAAACTTTTCTCCGCAGAACTGGTTCCTGGTGCCCAAAAGGTTGGGGACCTCTGATCTATTCTATTAATTTATCTATTTCTATTTCTATTTCTATTCTACTCTACTCTACCCTACCCTACCCTACCCTACCGTACTCCACTCCACTCTCCATTCCACTCCACTCCACTCCATCTTCTCTGCTTTCCCAGAAGCCTAATCATTTTGCTAGGGTCTGATAATGCATTACGCTTTGCCACTGTACTTCAAACCTGGACCACACTATGACAAAGATAGAAATTGCCTATCAATTCTACTACCGGCATGTGGGCTTGTATTTATTTTTATTCTGAACTCTTTTGCTGAACTTGGCAAGCCAAGAAATCCTATGATTAGCACTAATGTAAGAATGTGAACACTCTGAAGTGTAGCTATTAAAAGGTATAATAGTTCCACCCAATTATAAAACAACTAATTCAGATAGGAAATAATTCACTTATACTGACGGCAAGGATAGGCTTCAATAAACCTTTTCAAAATGCTGCATAATTCATTTTGTTTTTAAATTAAATGGGGATTTGTGCCAAAATCACAACCCATAATCCCTAATAAGATTAGTCAATGAACTTGCTTTATTCAGGATAGTATAATATGACAAATAGGTTTTTTTCCTTAACAAACATATTATATATACTCCTTGCAGCTATATTTTTCTGGTAATCTTCTGGTATAAATAGTCTTAATTGCGAGTTTCCTTTCAGAGGTTGTAAAGCTTAACACCTAACTGCACTTGCCATAATTAAGTATGCTAAATCTGCTGTAACCACCTTTAATCACTAACTAGCTTTGTTTACCTGTTCTCACCATCTCTGATGCACTCAGGAAGAGCCAGGCTACATCCAAACAGCATAATGTGTTGATAACAGCCGAGGCGGTTGAGATAACCAAAGAACTTGAGAAATTTTTCCATTTCAATGCTTCTCACAATGGAAAGAACTGATCTTAGAGTAGTCTGGTTATATGGTAGCATTTCACACTGGGTGTAGTTGATGTTTATACACAAACCTGCAAAATAAGAACATATTTGTGACAGAGACTAAGAGCAAGAGTTTACCAGAAGTGAAAAGTCACTAGAAGGTTCAAAATATATGAAGCAGCCATCTTAACAACTATATTATTTTATTACCTGATACTATCCTTTCCGCTTAGAAAGATTGCTGCTACTCCCCCTTTCCCCTCGTACTGAGAAATCTAGTTCAAAACTTAACCAAAAAAATCATTTTTTGTACAATTCTATCAATATCCACTCAGAAAATAAAGATCTGTTAAAGTTCATTGTCCCAAATAAGGTATAAAAGATTGCGGTTTTAGTTTAACTAGAAACATTTGATACTGGCAAGAGTACTTTTTAAACCTTACTGTATATAGAGTGAGGTCTTTTAAACATACTACTAATTTTTATATCTATTCCTCCTCCACCTCCTCCTCCTCCTCCCCCCAACCTTCCATTTATACTCAAGTTTGCAAGTAGTTTTCTTAACAGACTGTTTTATGATTGTTTTGTATTAACAAATGGATAACATTTATTTCACCCACGTTGTCTATTGAGGTGTTTAGATGTTTAAGTTAATATTTTATGTGTAACAAGTTTTAAAGCAGGGATGTCAAACTCTATTTCATTGAGGGCCGCATCAGCATTGCGGTTGCCCTCGGGGGAGGGGGGCGGGGGGGTGTGGCCAGGATGGGTGCGACCTACTGAGTGGGCGTGGATGGAGTGAGTGTGGCCTACTGGGTGGGCGTGGCCAGCTCTACATCGTTCGCGTCAATGGTGCCTGTGGGGGCTTGGGCAGGAGTGGGACAGATCTGAGGGTCTCTGGCAGAAGGGGGTGGGACCAGGGCAAGCCCCAAGGCATGGTCCATTTCTTCATTCCTCACAAAGGGCGACACCTCCCCAGCATGCACCCAGGCGATGGAGCCAACATGGCAGAGGCTGGTTCCTCGCTGTTTCCAGACGGCCTTGTGGAGCTAAAACTGAATGCGTTTCAGCATAGAGGGCCACCACAAAATTGTACATTGGCTCCCTCCCGGCCGGCCTGGGCCAGGAGGGCCAAGGCAGTGGGAGTCGTTCCCTCACTGTTTCCAGGATGGCTTTGCGGGCCACATGAAACCACTTCGCGGGCCGCATCCGGCCCCCGGGCCTTGTGTTTGACATGTCTGGTATAGGGTATCCTGTCTGAGCAGGTGGTTAGACTAAAAGGCCAAGATCCCTTCTAACTGTTCTGTTCTGTTCCGTTCCATTCCAATTTACCACAAATCTGTAGAATTGTTATTGCTCTGTTGTCCTTCTTCCTTAATAAGGGAAAAGATATCTAATGCACTTCTAGCCACAATATTGGAAATTAACCCTTATAGACACAGGCAAACATTAAGGTAATAAAACTCAACAGCTGTAATTTGAGTTTCTAAAGGTAATCATCTAAAATCTGATTCTATAAATATAATGAACGATGGGGTCACATTCAATATATGTTATCACATCTCTTTATGTATTGTTTTAATATGATAATGTTACTTAAGGAATGCATTTTGCAACGTACTTTATATTTATATGCCCAGAATAGTTTCAGATATGTAGTTTGTTATTATGAAGCGAGATTTTTAGTTTTATCTTTTTCTTGTCAATAAACTACCTAGACAAATTGTGTCTGCTCATATTTGAATCATTGCAGTGAATATATTTCCACCAGATGTTTATCTTGTTGGAAGAAAGAAAATTTTAAAAAACAAAATACGTGAATATAATATTTCTTGTACATGAAAAGTAAAGTCTGCCGAAGGAAACTGTTTGACACAGTGTGAGTTCATAACTCAGTTTAATCAAACCAATATCCAGTATAAAAGTTCAAGAGCAAAACTGAGGTAATTTTTCCCCTAGCACTTCTTTGATCCCAGTTGGAGCAAAAGGAAATAGAAATGTTCCAAATGGGAAAAAAAATAATATTGCCTTGAGATCTATTATTTTGTTTAATTTTGTGCCAAAGAAGATGACTATTTTCAAAGTAACTAGGCCTTTCATCCAAGAACAAAATAATCATTTACTATAAATGCATTATTTATTGGCCATCCTGAATACCTATAATAGTCTTAGTAGCTACTCCTGCAGATGCTTTCTCATTTGTAAGCATTTTCTAGTTCTATAGCCTCCCACTTGCCACAAGTAATGTGTAACTTCTAGATGTTACAAGATTTCTAGCCAAGTGATCTGTACGTATTTGTTGATCTTAATTTTTTGGCATATTACTAAATAAATTATGAAGTAACATAACACATCTTATGTATGCTTAAGAGGCTCTGCTAAACACTATTTCCTTATTCCAGGATTAGAATTGTCAATATAGCTAATTATTGGAAATGCACATTAGCAGGTATGATGATGATGACCTTCAGAATTATCACGTTACACTGACTAAGATGAAATTTGTATGCACTTTTACCTATCCCTGTAGCTATTATCTGCACCATTTGAAGCAAACTCAGTTGAAAATTGAGTGTCCCATTGCATTCAGTGAGATTTATCCCTTAAGGCAGGGGTCTTCAAACTTGGCCCTTTTATGACTTGTGGACTTCAACTCCCAGAATTCCTCAGCCAGCAGGGGTCTTCAAACTTGGCCCTTTTATGACTTGTGGACTTCAACTCCCAGTTCTGGGAGTTGAAGTCCCACAAGTCATAAAAGGGCCAAGTTTGAAGACCCCTGCCTTAAGGTTTGGACTCTTTATCTCATCTGAAGATAGCAGGATGGGGACTGGGAGATGAATAAGCTTGGGAGCCTTAATCATCACTTCCTTGAGGGAAAGTTGGATTCCACCAGCACTAAAAGGGCCACTGGTGTGCCAACTCCTCAAGAATCTATGGTTGCTATCATGGAAGAATTATACCAGAAATTGGATGAAGGGAATGTGACCGTCCTTCTCTTACGTGCTTATTGTATATCATCTATTTCATGCGCCTTCAGCACCAATCACTGCTTTTCTTCCTCCAGAAGATAAAATCCTTTATTTTACATTCCAAGTTACCAAAGGAATTACAATACTGCAAACATACGAGCTGTTCTATACCCATAAAAAACATCTTGAAGTAATACAGAGAGCCATTTTCCAAGGTTTTGGGAAATTCTCATTAATTGTCTCTCTCCAATTCTGCTACTTTATAAAATCTCTCATAAAGGAAGGAGCTCTGTGGGGCAATATTGGAAGAAAAACTTATTGCCTACTTTGGAAGAATGGGTACTTAAAGTGTCTAATTTAGCAGAAATGGCGAAAATCTCCGCCTATTTGAAGGACCATTCACAAGAAAGATATATTATGATTTGGAGAAGATGGATTGATTATATTCAGAAGAAGTATGAATCTGAAAAGTATTACCTTGCTTTGGAGTAGATTTTAGATAATTTTTTTTTAATTAAATTTTTTTAAGATTTTACAATAAAAACCCCTCCCCCAATCCCTCCCAACCCACCCCAAAACCCTCCCCCATTCTGCAGAAACAGAGCGAATACAGGCTTAAAGGACAAGTTTTAAGCCCAAATATTTGGCAAGATAATTTGATTCAATAATATTCAGAAGAAGTATGAATCTGAAAAGTAGAGCTTTGGGGAAGATAAAAAATAAAATTTTAAAAAAATTAAAGAATAATAATAATTACACTTCTAGATAACCCAATCGAAAGCCCACCTTATATCCCTATCCATTCTTTCCACACCAAGCTTACTTCTCTTGCGATTGATCTTTCAAGAAAGCTAAAGAATAATAATAATTACACTTCTAGATAATATCTTAAACTTTAAATATAAATTATTCGAAAGCATATATCATACTTATATTGTATAAAATTTATCCATCTTTTCCACACCAAGAGATACTTCTCTTGCGATTGATCTTTCAAGAAAGAAATTTTTGCCATTTCCGCTAAGTAAGAAACCATTCTTGCAAAGTAGGCAAAGATTCCTTCTTCCAATATTGCCCTATTAACAACCTAGCCGCAGTAATTCAAAGATATAAAAGCTCTACCCCAAGACAAGGGGTCTTTAAACCCTGTAATATATTATTAAAAAGTTCCCTTAGAGGTTCTATCAACTCATCTATCAAAGTCTTATAATAAATTGATGTCAATCCATCAGTACCAGGTGCTTTACCTAACTTTAATTCTTTAATTGCTGTCATCATTTCCTCTATAGTAATCAATCCATTAATTTCTTGTTTCTGATCTTCTGTTAATTTAGGAAAATAAGCATCTTGTAAATATTTTTCTGTATCTGAAACCTGTACTTTCCTACCCATATATAATTTTTTATAATAATCTAAAAAAGATTTCTTAATCAATTCCTTCTGGAATACCAATTTACCATTATAATTTATTTTATCTATAATTCTCGACTTCTGTTTCTTTCGCAATTGATAAGCCAGCCATCTCCCTGGCTTATTAGCGTTACAAAATGTGTTATGTTTCATATACAATAAATTAGTTGCAGTCTGATCTGCCATTAACATATTAAATTGCGATTTAAGCAATTTTATGGATTGAGTAGATTTTAGATAATTATTAATAGTATTACTTGTATTATTATTTTTGTTTTAATTTGTTAATATTTGTTTTGAGTATAGATGGCACCTTGATCCACAAAAAATGTCTCGTATGTATCCTGACTTGCAGCCTAAATGTTGGAGATGTGGGTGTTTGGATGCTACCTATTACCACATTTGGTGGTCATGTAAAAATATAAAAGCTTTTTGGATTAAGATATGGTGGAATATTCAAAGAATTTTTAGAAGAAGGATAAAATTTACTCCACAATTGTTCTTGTTAGGTATTGTTTCTAATTGTGATAGTAAAGAGACTACATCAATGTTAAATTTAATTACAGCGGCCAGGTTGTTAGTAGGGCAATGTTGGAAGAAGGAATCTTTGCCTACGTTGCAAGAGTGGTTTTTTAAAGTTTCTTATTTGGCGGAAATGGCAAAGATTTCGGCTTTCTTGAAAGATCAATCGCAAGAGAAGTACCTCCTGGTATGGAAAAGATGGATAGATTTCATACAATATAAGTTGGATATAAAAAAATATTATTTAGTTTTTGAATAATTTATATTTAGAGTTTAAGATATTTTATAGATATTTTTTTTAATTTTTTATTTTCTTTTTTTATTTTATCTTTTCTTTTTCTGTTTCTTTTCTTTCTTTCTTCTTGTTTTCTTTATATATTGTTGTTAACTATTTTATAATTTGTTTAATTAATGTATTTAGATTTGCTTATGGTTTATACGTGTTTTAAGATTTTTTTAAATTTTAATTAAGCCTGTATTCAGCTCTGGGAAGGTCCGGGGAGGGTAGGGGAGGGTTGGGAGGGTTCGGGGAAGGGAATTTCTTTTTTGTAAAACTTAAAAAATTTTCAATAATAATAATAAAAAAATATTTGTTTTGAGAAGGAGTTAAAGTATGTTACGATTTTGATTGATAGTTTAATTGGTTTATGTTAGCTAGATTATGTTTGTTTATTTGTTACCCTGTAATCAGCTCTGGGAAGTGGGGGAGGGGGGAGGGGGGAGGGGAGGGGGGGTTTATATTGTAATTTGTAAAACTTTTAATAAAAAAAAGGAGCTCTGCAGAGAGAAAGGGTTGAAGAAGAGCGTTAAGTAAGAAATTTATTATTCTACTCAACAATGCGCCAACAATTTTTTTGCTCAATTTCATGCCATTATGAATAAAATGTTGGAAATGTTTTTTTTTAAAAAAAAACCCTGTAACTTCATATAGCGATAAGGAATGATAGTTGTTTAATTGTCCACGCATGTAACTCAATGGAATGCCAAGCATATTATATGTAAAACTGAACTTACACATGATTGAATCGGCAGGCATTAGCAAAACAACATGCAAGAATTATTTCCCATAATGAGTTTGCTGCCAGATACAAACTTATTAGGTTAATTTTGGGGGTGTGAGGTGATCAAACAGAAAAACATGTTTTAAGCCCGTCTTGTTGAATAAGTCAGAGGAGGCTAGGGCCATACACTACAGTAAGTCACACACTATAGTACCCAAACCGCAATAGTTTATTTTGCATAACACTTTAAGCCCAAAACAAAAATACCTCATGTTTTAAATTAGAACCACGTGTGAACTCAGTCTACATCTTAAAAATGAAAACAGTGTTAGATAAAATAAACAGCTTTGTGGTCTGGGCATCCTTATGTAGTTTCTTGTCAACAAGTTTCATGGTACGTGCAGACCCAACAACACTAACTAGCAATCAGAACATATGATGAACACATGATGAAAACTCCTTATCTGCACAACACATGGACACTTAACCATTGTTTCAAGATACGCATCCTAGGCCAAGCTAACTCCAAAAACGTTGGAGGATTCCTGGAAGTCTGGCACTCAGGCGTATCAGCCATAAACAGGCACCCAGAAATAAACAACATACCATTCAGAAAAGAGACCATCAAAAAGCCACAACACCTCCTGATCAGCAATCAAATGCCCAGATAAGTAGAGATTAACACCAAGCAGTAAACAATATGAAATGTCTGCAAGGGATTTTTTTTTTCTCTTGCGGACAGCCCCCAAGGACCTCTCACCTCTTCAACCCCGTGCTACAAATATTCTTTTGGGACCATTTGAAATTACAACAGACCAGTGATGGGATTCAGCCGTTTCACACCACTTCGGCAGAACCGGTAGCTAATTTTTTGTTGCCCAGGCCCAGAACCGACATCCGGAAGCAGCATCCACAGAGAACCGGTTGTTCACATGTTTGAATCCCACCACTACAACAGACCCTCCTCATAGCTACAACCCAGTTTCCTAGTTACAACAGCCATACATACAGTCTATGTCAGGGGTAGGCAACCTTGGCTCTTTTATGACTCGTGGACTTCAACTCCCAGAATTCCTGAGCCAGCATGGCTCAGCTTGGAAACCTCTCCCTTTCCTCTCAGCTTGGCTGGCTCAGGAATTCTGGGAGTTGAAGTCCACGAGTCATAAAAAAGCCAAGGTTGCCTACCCCGTCTAGGTCATGTGCCATCATGCGAGGGCATTTTGGGCATTGGACAACTGGCTCACCTTTACAGCCGTTTGCAGTGTCCTGTAGTCACATGACCATGATTTTTTTTTTTTGCCAGTTAACGGCATTTATGTCTGGTTTCTGGCAACAAAATACTTATTTGAGAAAATGGATTCACTTAATCACTACTGCATTCACTTAACTATCGTAAAAAAAACAACCCAAAATAGCTACTTCAAATCCAGTCACATAATGTCTCAACTTACATCCGCAAAGATTTATAACCATAATTCCAGATCCAATTTGAATTGTAAATTGAGAATTATCTGCTCAAGGTTTCTAGTTGGGCAACAGAGCTCAGTTTGTACATCCTGCCAGCTTTTGATCAGTTATTTTCAACACTATAAAAGTTGATACATCCATTTCCCAGTTCCTTCTGTTGTCTGTGTTGCTTTGCAGAATGTCTGGTTCTCTGTTACTGTTGTTGAACCGTACTAAGAAATGCTATACAAAGAAATCAAAATAGCAAGGACAATTTCTTTAACGATATTTCCCAAAATAAAGTACTATGTTTTATTCCGGGTTTTTTTTATTCTTTTTGACTTTTTCCAGAGCTGTTCTCAAAATCCATTTATGAATGTATAAAATACAAGTATGAAAACATGCCCTAGTCTTATGCTAAAATGAAGGAAGTAGACTACTAGAAGAAAATTGCTATTTCAAATGTACTTAGATATGCTAAGGTTCAGTTTAAAACAATATAGCTTGTTTCAATTAGGGTTAAATGCTATAAATAAATGCTAGCGTTGAATGCTATACAAAACACTCTAATAAACAACCAATTCCCACAATATTGTCAAACTACCTAGTAGGGCTGTATTACTATTATCTTTCTCATATTTCCTATTACCTATTTCCTTATCTTCTTATGACTAAAACTTTGTTGTTTGTATCTTACAATGTATATTGTTTTGTTTAGTATCTAGTATGATTTATGTTGATTACTTATTTAGTATCCTATGACCGAGTGTTGTATCTTATGATTTATGATGAATGTATTTTATGATTATAATCATGATTTATCACTTGTTGCTTGCATATACATTGAGAGCTTATGCACCGGAGACAAATTCCTTGTCCAATCATACTTGGCCAATAAAATAATTCTAATTCTAATTAGAGTTAAAGGAGACTCATTATTTTGGGACTGCGGCTAATGAAGCCTGAAGAAACAGACAAGTTTTAAGAAGTGAAGCAGCTGCACTCTGCAAGCACAACTTGTTTAATGTATTTTAACAAGCTTAGAGGTACTTCCTAAGCGAAAGCATACCTCTGCTGTTGAGTTTTCCAGAAATAAACAGTTTAGTCTGCTGTTGCCCTGGCTGGGATCTGCAATAGCTCACCTTTGCTGGTATAAGCATGTTCCCAATAACCACTCAGGCATCGGACTGTGAGGGACTCAACATTAGTAAGTAGCTTTTATCTAATTCAAATGAGGAATGAGATGCTATGGAAACCACCTTTGTTAAGTACAGGTAGTCCTCAACTTACGACCACTGAGACAGTTTTTAAGTGAGCTTTGTCCCATTTTACAACCTTTCTTGCCACATCTGTTAAGTCAGGGGTGTCAAACTCAATTTCACTGAGGGCCACATTAGCATTGCGGTTGCCCTCAGGGGGGCAGGGGTGAGCCAGACAGTGTGAAGCTCGCCAACTTTGCACCTTGCTGCCTGCTGAAACTGGGCAGGCTGGAGGCTAGGCAGCATTGCACTTCTCATCAGATTCGCGCCACCCAACTCAACTCTAGGCGCTGTGAGAGCGCCTCGCTGCCTGCTGAAACCGGGCAGGCTGGGAGCTGGGCGGCCTCGCGTTTCTTTTTGGATTTGCGCCGCTCGGCTCAGCCTCTCGGCGCTGTGAGGAGCGCCCCGCTACATGCCAAAACCCCTCCCCCAGAGCCCATCAAGCCGGATATGTGAAGTAGGCGAGGGCCATTTGCTGGCCACTTCCAGGTGATGGTGTATTTCTTCATTCCTCACAAAGGGGGACACCTCCCCCAGCATGCACCCAGGGGGTGGGGCCAACACGGCAGGGGCTGGTTCCTCATTGTTTCCAAACGGCCTTGTGGAGCTAAGACTGAATGCGTTTCAGCATGGATGGCCACCACAAAATTGTACATTGGCTCCCGGCCGGCCTGGGCCAGGGCCAAGGCAGTGGGAGCCGTTCCCTCACTGTTTCCAGGATAGCTTCACGGGCCACATGAAACCACTTCGCGGGCCGCATCCGGCCCCCGGGCCTTGTGTTTGACATGTCTGTGTTAAGTGAATCGCTGCAGGGGTTAAATTAACCGCATGATTGTTAAGTGAATATGGCTTCCCTATGGACTTTGTTTGTCAGAAGGTTGTAAAAGGGGATCACATGACCCCAGAACACTTCAACCTTCCTAAGGATGAACCACTTGCCAAACATCCGAATGTAAATCACAGGACCGTGGGGATGCTGCAACGGTCATAAGTGTGAAAAATGGTCGTAAATCCCCCTTTTCAGGGCTGTTGTAACTTTGAACGGTCACAAACGAACTGTGGTAAGTCGAGGATTACCTGTAATAGTTCCTGCAAGTATAAGAATGTTTCCAATCATCGCATCACCTTTTTGTGCCCTAATTAAGAATCCATATTAATATAAACTTACCTTTTTTCAAACCCACGTCTTGCACAGCGGGCGGTATCGTAGATTTCACTGCAGGCTCAGAAAACGTTTTGTTCATGACTTTGATGGATGGGTCAGTGGACCCCAGGTCCTCTTCTACTGACGCCTCTGCCGCTGACCAGTTTTTATGGGGCGCTTTCGTCAAAATCCTTTCATCTGTAATATTCGTTTTCACTGCTGGAGTTTCAGAGGCAACCCAAGAGGTTCCCCTAAGTATACTGATGTTTGGGTGCATCTGGTTGACATGAAAAGATTGGTTTGTTTTCCAAGAGGTCAGCTCTATTTCATTGTCCACTGAAGGAACCACAACTACATCACTCTCATTCATGCTAGGAAAATGAATGTCGGTGCCAAGTAAGTCACTTCCATTTGAATGAACGCACTTTTTTCCCAACACACCTGCATTGGGAAAATAAAACAAAACATAATTATTATTTTTTTCAACCAACACGTGGTCTGGATTTAAAAACGCTAATACATATTCAGTTCCTAATCCTTCATTCTTTCCTTTAGCCATTGATAGAATAAATCCCAAGTTTGGTAATATTCTGTTTCTTCTTTATCTTTCAGTCTCATAGTTAATCTGTCCATCTCTGCACATTCCAATGTTTTTTTGATTAGTTTTTCCTCCGGCGGTAATCCTTCCATTTCATTTTTCCAATATTGCGCAAAAATTATTCTTGCTGCCGTTGTGACGTGCAAAATCAAATATAGGCTTTGTTTATTAATCTTTTCTGGCATTATACCTAATAAAAAAAAGTTCAGGTTTAAAATCAACATGTTCTCCCAACATTTTTTTTCTAACCAGGCATGTATCTTTTTCCAATAGACCTTAGCTTTATCACATGCCCACCAAACAGGATAATAAGTGCCTGAGTTGTACTTACATTTCCAGCATCTATCTGACATATTTTTAAACATATTTTTGCTAATCTTGCTGTTGGCAGGTGCCATCTATAAAACATTTTATATAAATTTTCTTTATATGAGGTTGACATTGACAATTTATAGTTCCTCTCCCATAACTTTTGAAAAATTAATATATGTATGTAAGAGAAAATTAATAAAATCTTTATTTAAAAAAAGGAAAATAAAACAAAACATAATCAGCCTGATTAGATATCAGCCTATCTAAAACACATATATTAACTTCCAAGAAACATTCCAAACACAACCTGTTCTATGAAAAGTTGAAAACTGCAATATTGGGAAGATAACATACATGTTTTATTTTTTTTATATTTTTTATAATTTTAGCCATCACGGCAACTGGTTACCAATAATTTTCCATCCATTACTTAATTTCCTAGTCCTTTGTCTATCCAGTTGTACTTTTAAAAATGTACTTTATAACAACATAATTTGAGAGTACAGTATACACAACAGACTGTACAATCCTTTGTACAGTGTATGGTGTGTTCAAAGAATTCCAAAAGAATTTAGTAACATTTTATGTTTTGTCCTCCACCATCTTCTTACTTGAAGAAGGAATTTTATGGACATAGTGTGCGTATACTTATGCAGCCGCATTATTGTAGTTTTTTATTGTTATTTTTCCCCCTAAATGATAATCAGTTTTTCAACTGAATTGTACAACTTATATGTTATATTAAATGATTTCCCTTGATCTGTTTTTTTATATATCTCAAAAACCTGAGATTTTAACAGGGATGTGTAGACTTTTTATACCCATGGTGACAACTATGGTGCATTGGATGATCTGCAAGAAATACCATTTGCCTGCAAGCAACAACTGGTGGGACCATAAAATAGAGAAAGTAATAGCAGATGAAGAAGCTAAATTGCTCTGGGACTGTAGAATTCAAACAAATAAGCACCTGCCACATAACACCCCGGACTTAACAATTGTTGATGAGAAAGACAAAAAAGTCTGGATACTGGATGTGGCAGCACCTGGAGACAGCAAAACAGAAATGAAGATAACAAAGTTCAAAGACGTGCAAATAGAAATAGAAGTATGGCAAACAAGAAAAAAAAAAGCAAATGTACTACCAACAGTAATAGGCATATTGGATCCAATTCCAAAAGAACTGGAGCACCACTTAAACACCATAGGCATTGATAAAGATCACTATCAAGTCAATTGCAAAAGGCAGCTTTACTTGGAAAAGCTTACATCTTGCAACAATATCTTTAACATCATTAAACAGATCCCTGGGAAGGACTTCATAGGTTGATTAAAAACGTCAAATCCAATCTAAACATCTAGCTGACTGGGCAATTAGCCATGATGATAATACTGTAATTTCCGGCGTATAAGACGACTCGGTGTATAAGACGACCGACTTTGGAGCCAATTTGCATGCCTTGAAAGTTGTCTTATATGCCGGAAACTACCGTAATTTCCAGCGTATAAGACGACACAGCGTATAAGACAACCCCCGACTTCGGAGCTGATTCGCATGCTTTAGAAAGCCGTCTTATACACCGGAAAATACGGTAATAATAATAATCCAATGTTCTGGACTTGTAACAACACAGTAGGACAAAATTTGCAAAATCTCCTGCCTTTCTTCCACAGGGGTTTCTGCAAGATATGGTTAAAATAAACAGCCAAGATGACAACTACAATTGTGTAATTAAAGCTCTGCCCATTTTCTATGAAACTTTATGTGAATTAGTAGGAAGTTTATTCTGTTATGTCTCTGAACTTCACTACAAGATTCTTTCTTCACAAACACCTCCAATCTCCTGTCTCATTCTGGAGATGTATCAATGTAGGTACCAAATGTATCAAAACAAAACTGGTCATCAGAGAATTGAATGACCAACATAGGCAAACTATTATGTATACTCATAACTCTTCAAGAAGTGAAAAGGGTGGTAGAACAAATTAGCTCAGGACAAACACACAGTCCAATTGTGCTACTATCTCAGTATTAGAAAGAACTTGAGGATCTGGTAGAGTCATTGACAAACTTAATGAAATTGAAAAAGCAAAGGCTAGATCAGCACGGGAAGAGGCGTACATTGCCCTGATTTATAAAGATGGAAATGATTCAATTTTCTGGGCTTATACAACACACTAGTCCAAAATTTGCAAAATCTTTCAAACCACAGAGCAACGATACGAACCGCTCTCTCTACTGAATGTATATTATACTCTTTTTACCACACTATTAGCTGATTAACAGCTGTGGTGGAACAGTAGCTAGAATGCAGTATTGCAGGCTAAATCCACTGACTGCAGACTGCCAGCAGTTTGGCAGTTCGATCCTGACCGGCTCAAGGTTGACTCAGCCTTCCATCCTTCCGAGGTCAGTAAAATGAGGACCCAGATTGTTGGGGGTAAGAGGCTGACTCGTAAACCACTTAGAGGCTTGTAAAGCACTACGAAGCGGAATATAAGTCTAAGTGCTATTGCTATTAACTAAAGAAATATATCCTGGATATAATACATATCAATAATAATACATATCAACCATGTTGCCTTTCTTTCGTCATATTCCCTTGCCTTCTTGCTAATTTCTCCATATTATACTGCAAAAATATCTGTTAAGGAGGAAAGCATGGCCACCTGTGTCTTTAGACTGGTACAGCCAGATTTGCAAACATCCAAATCAGTCCAGGGAAACTGATGAGTTAAAGCAGTGTTTCTTAATCTTAAGTCATGGACTTGAACTCCCAGAACACCCCAAACCCAACCAGCATTTCTTAAAGTTGCCAAGGTTGAGAGAGACATTAAGCCAGTGGTTCTCAACCTTTTTAATGCCGCAACCCCCCCAACCGGTCGTAAGTTGAGGACTACTCAACCGGTCGTAAGTCGAGGACTACTCAACTGGTGCAGCACCGTTTGCAGAATGGGACTTTTGGCGGGCTCAGCAGGGCAGAGACAGCCTGGACAATTCCTATTGGCTTTTGAAAGCCAATAGAATTAGACTCTATTCAAGAGAGTCTATTCTATTGGCTTTCAAAAGCCAATAGAATAAAAGGGAGTAGCACAGCTAAGGAAAAGGGGGAAAAATGGTGGACTGCATTGTTTGGTGACCCCCGTGAAATGGTCATTCGACCCCAAATGGGGTCCCGACCCACAGGTTGAGAACCACTGCACTAAGCTAAAGGGTGATTCGACACAAGGTAAATGAATATTTCAACTTTGTGTATTTACAGTGGTATTCAACTGCTTTGAAGAAAAGGACTAGGGATGAAATGATAGCAGTATTCCAGCATTTGAGGGGCTGCCACAAAGAAGAGGGGGGGCAGCTTATTTTTCAAAGCACTGGAGGGGGCAGGACAAGAAACAATGGATGGAAATTAATAAAGGAGAGAAGCAACCTGGAATTAAGGAGAAACTTCCTAATAGCCTTCAGAAGTTGTGGATGCTTCATCACTTGAAGGTTTTAAGAAGAGACTGGATAGTCAGTTGTCTGGAATGGTATAGGGTCTCCTCTTTGAGCAGAGGGTTGGACTAGAAGACCTCCAAGGTCCCTTCCAGCTCTATTCTGAATTGAAACTCATCAAATTTGGTACACAACGCATTTTGATCAGAAAATGTAGTCTCAGTACTCAACGTTTGTTCGGTTCTCAATGCACAAGCTAGAACGTGTTGATGTTCAGCTGCCTTGTGACTCACTACATTATTCCTTATGAGAAAAATCTGTTTGGTACTCATCGTTTTTGGTAACTCATCGCGCCTCCCGAAACCAATTAACGAGCAGCACTGAGGAACTACTCTATAGTAATTTAAAATTTCCTCCCCGTTTCTCAAGAACCTGGAGGAGGCTGACTTAATAATGGATACACAATCTTCAACAGCTACCCAGCGAAGAAAAGCAGAGCCTCCAGACAATTTCCTTATTGGCCTTTAAGTATTCCTGGTAACCTTGGGCATTGCTCAGTCTACAGCCAAAACACAGAAACAGAATTTGATTTATTTTTACATTCGTCCCAAGAGCATTGCAACTGGAAGCAAAACAAGCTAAAGCTGTCAGCCACAAAATAATACTTGATTATTTTTTCATTTTCTCACTGTCCTTCTACTGTGGACTTGGGGAAAATACGGTGTATCACATTTTTCAGGCACAGTTGAGTGAATACAGCCCACTAAGCCACAACTCATAGTTTATAAATGTGTATTTGTAGCCCAGGCATTCAAAATTTATCCAGAATGTATCACTGGGAGGCATCCGTTGACTAGAACTCTTCTCCCCAAATGTGCTAGCATTTCAGAAGCTGTTAAAAAGAAACAATTCCAGCAAAGCTTTAATTTATGCAGATTGAAATGTAATGCAAATTGCCTCTTAATGCAACTTCTTCAAGACAATGCACCTCACAAAGAGTTCGCTGTGTTTGCCTTTCAAGACAGAAATTAGTTATCAGGGATGTTTTCTTCCTGCAGAAAAACAATTGTCATGATTTACTTCTATCAGAATAGAGTTGGACGGGACCATTCTGGTCCAATCCCTCACTCAGGCAGGAGACCCTACACCATTCCAGACAAATGGCTGTATTTCTCTTCTTAAAAGCCTCCAATGAAGCACCCACAACTTCCGGAGGCAAGCTGTTCCACTGGTTAATTGTTCTCACTGTTAGGAAGTTTATTCCAGGTTGCTTCTCTCCTTAATTAGTTTCCCTCCATTGTTTCTTGTCTTGCCTTCTGGTGCTTTGGAGAATAGGTTGACCCCCCCCCCTCAAATACTGGGACACTGCTATCATGTCCCCCCTAGCCCTTCTTTTCTCTAGACTGGCCATTCCCAAATCCTGCAGCCGTTCTTCATCTGTTTTACTCTCCAGGCCTTTAATCATTTTAATTACTCTTTCCCCCCCCCCCAAAGTCTCAACATCCTTTTTGTAATGTTATGCAGTATTCCAGGTATGGCCTTATTAAGGATTTATAAAGCGGTACTAATACTTCACATGATTTTGATTCTACGCCTCTGTTATGCAACCAAGGATTTTGGCTGAACAGTTTATGCCCAAGTTAAAGCATGTCTTTTTTTGGTTGGGGGGGGGAGGGCGGGACGCAGATAACGTGGAGGAATTCTTTTCTGCAAGGGAGGGGCCACAAAGAGTAGCAAGCACTCCAACCTTGCCCCGTTGGTCTCATTAAATCACTCAGGATTCCCGGCACGTTTTCCTTTAAAAACGTGGCCAGTTCTGAACAGAACTAGCAGATTCTGAATTTGTGACAGGTTTTGGATTCTAAAAAAGTTTGCTTCCTTTCATACCCCTCCCCTTCCTGCCTCTCCCCCACCTGATGGGGAGAACAAATTATTGATGAAGTTCAATGTCCTTTCGTCTTGACTCATCTTTTCTGATACTCACCTACGAAGGAAAGAAGAATCACAAACAAAAGTATAAGGGTGCAGATGCAGGGAATTAGAACTAGCAATGACAGCCTGAAGTATTTTACAGAAGCCAGTTTCCGGGAACAGCCATCCTCCATTTTATCTTCATCTGTTTCCGGAACCTGAAACACAGAGAGACCGAGACTTATATTTCTGTATGTACTCTGTCATAGAAAACGGCCACCGAATCAAAAATATTTTTTTCTAGCAGAAATGGCTGAGCCTGTAGTGTAAAAAGCTGGAGCTCTCAAAGTCTATTTGCCAGAAGCCACTGAATCTTCATACAAGTAGTCCTCGACTTACCACCGTTCATTTCATGACCGTTCGAAGTTACAACAGCACTGAGAAAAGTGACTTACGACTATTTTTTCACACTTATGATCAATGCACATCCCTGTGGTCACATGATCAAAATTCATATGCTTGGCAACTGACTCATATTTATGAGGGTTGCAGTGTCCCGGAGTCATGTGATCACCTTTTGTGAAATAATAATAATAATAATAAATACAAATAAATAAAAATAAAAAAACAACTGGAGCACCACTTGAATACCATTGGCATTGACAAATTTGCCATTAGTCAATTGCAAAAGGCGGCCTTACTAGGAACTGCGACAATATCTGTAATAACATCAAACATCCACATCTGCCTATCCCAGGTCCTTGGTAAGGACTCAATGTTTTGTTTTTGTTTTTTTTATTGAGAATTTTTAAAAGTTTTTACAAATAACAAAAAAAGAACAATAAAAAACAAAAAAAAAAACAAAACAACCCTCACCCAACCCCTCCCAAACCACTCCCTCCATCCCCCCCCCCGGAGCTTCCCAGAGCTGAATATAGGCTTAATTAAAATTTTAAGAAACCTAAACAAGTTTTAACAACTTATAAAATAGTTAATAATAAAATATATGTGACATAAACATTAAAAAAAAAAATACTTAAAAAGGAAAAAAGAAAAGAAGAAAGAAAGAGGAAAAGAAAATAGGAAAAAGAAAAAAAAGAAAAAAAGAGAAAACAATCCATAAAATATCAAAAATTATATACAAGTTATAAAAAAGCTAAATGATATTTTTTATATCCAATTTATGTTGTATAAAATTTATCCATTTTTCCCATACAACAAAAAATTTCTCTTGCGATTGCTCCTTTAAAAAAGCCAAAATCTTTGCCATTTCCGCCAGATAGGAAACTTTAAAAAACCACTCTTGCAAGGTAGGCAAAGATTCCTTCTTCCAATATTGTCCTACTAACAGCCTTGCGGCTGTAATCAAATTTAACATCAATATAACTTCCTTAGCATCACAATCAGTAACAATACCTAACAAAAATAATTGCGGAGTAAATTTTACCCTTCTTCTAAAAATTCTTTGAATATTCCACCATATCTTAATCCAAAAAGCTTTTATATTTTTGCACGACCACCAAATATGATAATAGGTGGCGTCCAAACAGCCACATCTCCAACATCTAGGCTGTAAATCAGGATACATAAGAGACATTTTTTGTGGATCAAGGTGCCATCTATAAAACATTTTATAAAAATTCTCCCTTAAGTTCTGGGCTTGTGTAAATTTAACATTCCTCACCCAGATAATTTCCCAGGTATCCAGTGGGATTGGTTCACCAAAATTTTGTGCCCATTTAATCATGCAATCTTTGATTAATTCAGATTCTGAATCCAATTCCACTAGAACCCCGTAAATCCTCTTAATGTGAGTTTGTCTTTGATCCTTTACTTGTTTAAAAAGATTTTCATCTTCTCTAAGCCAGCCCATATTACAATCCATCTTCCATCTGTCCACTAATTGTCTATATTTAAACCATGAATAGGTAATATTTTCATGTACTAAATCTTCCAAAGATTTTAACTGCCAATTTTGACCATCCCATCTAAGTAATTGTGTGTAAGAAACCCTATCCATTTTAACTCCTCTCCTTATCCCCTCTATCGCATGCCAAGGTATAGCCCATAAAGGTATTTTAAAATCACTCTTATAATACTTCCTCCAAACCCGAAGTAAAGAGATCCTTATAATATGTGATTTAAAAACTCGATCCACTTTTTTATTAAAAATTAAGTAGGCATGCCATCCAAAAAATAAATCCCAACCCTCCAGATGGAGTATTTCTACATTTGTTAAGTTTACCCAATCACTAATCAATGTTAAAGCCACAGCATCATAATATAATTTCAAATTCGGCACCTTGAGTCCACCCCTCTCACGAAAATCTTACATAATTTTAAGCTTTACCCTTGGTTTTTTCCCTGCCCAAATAAATTTATTAATGCCTTTCTGCCATTCATTTAAGTTAAGCTCATTCTTTAAAATAGGTAGCATTTGAAACAAAAAAAGAAATTTTGGTAGGACATTCATTTTAATCACTGCAATTCTACCCATAAGAGATAACTGTAACTTATCCCAATTCTTCAAATCTTTCTGTGCCCTGATCCACAACTTTTCATAATTATTCTTGTACAATTTTACATTAGAAACAGATAAAGTAACCCCCAAATATTTTACCTTATCAACAACTTCAAAATCTGTTAAATTAACCAAAATCTGCTTGTCCCGATTAGTCATGTTTTTAGATAATATTTTAGTCTTATTATTATTAATTTTAAAACCTGAAACACATCCATATTGATGAATCAGTTGTAGTAACTTTACTACAGAATAAGTAGGTTGAGACAGAGTAACCACCAAGTCATCTGCAAAAGCTCTTAACTTATATTCTTTTTTGTTAACTTCTATTCCTTTTATTTCCTGCAACTCTCGAATTTTAATCAACAAAATTTCCAATGTTAAGACAAACAATAACGGTGACAATGGACATCCCTGTCTTGTACCTTTTTCTATTGTAAAAACCTCTGACAAACCCCCATTGACAATAAGTTGTGCCGTTTGTTTTTGATATATAGCACCTAGAGCTTGTGATATTTTTTCTCCAAAATTCATCTCCTCAATTAATCTTAACATAAACTGCCAATTCAGTTAGTCAAAGGCTTTTTCAGCATCTAAAAATATCGGTAAGGACTCAATGTTGTTGTTAATTGCGAAGTCGTGTCCGACCCATCGTGACCCCATGGACAACGTTCATCCATGTCTTCCTGTCCTCTACCATCTTCTGGAGTCCATTTAAGTTCACGCCTACTGCTTCAGTGACTCCATCCAGCCACCTCATTCTCTGTCATCCCCTTCTTCTATTGCCCTCAATCTTTCCCAGCATTAGGCCCTTCTCCAGTGAGTCCTTCCTTCTCATTAGGTGGCCAAAGTATTTGAGTTTCAACTTCAGGACTCAATAGGTAGACAAAATGCCAAATCCAGTCTGAAAATCTGGCTGACTATGTGATGATCAATAATAATAGTAATAATAATAATAATAATAATAATAATAATAATAATAATAATAATAATAATAACCCCCAGTGAGGCACTACCTTGACGTGGTTGTGGGGCTTGTGTACTCTGAGGAAGATGAGAGTTATGCCAGAGGTTCAACCATACTGGACAGGTCTCATCAGAGGAGTCAGACCAAGAGTGTCTCTCCCATAAAAAATATGGTGAGACGTAAATTTCAGAATGCCATACCGGCTCGGACGTCGCCTGGGTTAACAAGGTCCGCACTAGATATTGAAGTTCCTGGATATCTGGTGAAAAATGGGTTACAGGACTCAGGACTGTTGGCTGAGCAACCAGGGCCAGCAGCTGCAGAACTACTGGAAGAAAAGGTGTTTACCCGTCGCAGATACACAGTGATGGAAAACAAAGAAATAATGATCTGTTACTACAGATCAAGTCCAACAAGACGAGGATATCTAAAACGAATGCACGAATTCTGGAAAGAACAACATCCAGAATCAGAAATAACAGAACAGAGACTAGCAGATCAACGCCGATTTATAACACGAAATAAAGTATTTACAGAAACAGAATTGGACGAACTGCAAAGGTTTACCCAGGGCAAAGAAATCAAAGCCTTACAAGAAGTAATTCAGAATGTAGAGGCAAACCAGGGGGAGTTGGCAGTGAAAGAATCCAGTAGAGATATACAACTGTTCTCATTTGGAAACCAGGCACCTCTTCCTCAGGAAGAACAAAACCCTCTAACTAAAGAAATAAAAGAATTGAAACAAAGAATAATTGAGCATCTAGAACAGCACAAAAACAACAGAATAAGGCTGCCTGCATTGAAGCTTGTTCCAAAGAAACAGCTAGCACAAGCATTAAAAGATGCAAATACTGCAATAGCAAGTATAAGCACCAATTCACTGCAAGAAACAAACCAACTAATGTACAGCACAGCTGCAGTTATAACAGAATACCTGGGATGTAAAATCAACAAAAAAGAAAAACAAACAAACAGTGCACCACAAAAATGGAAGGTTAGACTAGAAAATAAGATCAGCAAGTTAAGATCACATGCAAGCAAGCTAGAACAGATGAAAGAAAAGAAGCTGAAGAACAAGAAGACCAAAGAATACCTAATCAAGAAATACCACTTAGAAACAAGGAAGATCAAGGAAGCACTGGAAATAATAAAGCAACAAATAACAGCTATAGCCAGGAAAATCAGTAGATATGAAGCTCGAATTGCAAACTATAGGCAGAACCTCCAATTTCAATCCAATCAGAAACGTTTCTACCAATCCATCAATGGAGAAACTGCAAGGAATCAGTCAGTACCTGACAAGGAAGAAACAGTGCAGTTCTGGAAGCAGATATGGGATAACCCAAAGAAATACAACAAGGATGCGGCTTGGTTAAAAGAGGTGGATGCAAATAAAACAGAAGTTGAAATGAAAGAACTAGTAATAACAACAAAAATGGTAGAAAAAAGAGCAAAGAAAATCAAAAATTGGTCAGCACCAGGTGAAGATGAACTGCATGGGTTTTGGTTGAAACATCTAACTGTTATACACCCACTCATTGCCAAGCAATTCAACAATATACTACAAGGAGGAGAAATTGAAAAGTGGCTAACAACTGGGAAAACCTACCTAATAATGAAAAATCCAGCAAAAGGGGCAACACCAGGTAACTACAGGCCAATTACCTGCTTACCAACAACTTCAAATTACTAACTGGTGTGGTAGCTGATGCAGTACAACAGCATCTAGT